GGACAGGGAAGATGGTTCAAATTGATGGGAAGATGGATGGAGCCAAATACAGGACCATTCTGGAAGGAAACCTGATGGAGTCTGCAAAAGACCTGAGACTGGGACGGAGATTTGTCTTCCAACAAGACAATGATCCAAAACATAAAGCAAAATCTACAATGGAATGGTTCACAAATAAACATATCCAGGTGTTAGAATGGCCAAGTCAAAGTCCAGACCTGAATCCAATCGAGAATCTGTGGAAAGAACTGAAAACTGCTGTTCACAAACGCTCTCTATCCAACCTCACTGAGCTCGAGCTGTTTTGCAAGGCGGAATGGGCAAAAATTTCAGTCTCTTGATGTGCAAAACTGATAGAGACATACCCCAAGTGACTTACAGCTGTAATCGCAGCAAAAGGTGGCGCTACAAAGTATTAACTTAAGGGGGCTGAATAATTTTGCACGGCCAATTTTTCAGTTTTTTATTTGTTAAAAACGTTTGAAATATCCAATAAATTTCGTTCCACTTCATGATTGTGTCCCACTTGTTGTTGATTCTTCACAAAAAATTACAGTTTTATATCTTTATGTTTGAAGCCTGAAATGTGGCAAAAGGTCGCAAAGTTCAAGGGGGCCGAATACTTTCGCAAGGCACTGTACAACCGAAACCAGCCCAGTCCCTGTGTTGTTTTCAGGCATCTGCACGGATGATATTTTCCTTGACATACCTCATTGCTTCTTTTGGCTTTGTAAACATCTTTACCATCATGTGAGATGCGTAGACGGGCTGGGAATAGAATACCAAACCGGACACCCTGTCGATTATGCAGCAGTTTCCGAACTTCCATGAATGCGGCCCTGGCCTTGGCAACACCCGCCGTATAATCCGGAAAGATGGTGACTGGTTCTTCATTGTATCTCAGTGGGGCTCGGCCTCGCGCACGGCTAAACATCTCAACACAGTCCTGGTAGTAATGAAGCTTCGCCACAATGATGCGTGGTTTTCCATCCGATCTTCTTGGAACCAGACTTCGATGCGCACGGTCCACAAGCACATCCTTTTCCAATTGCAGCACTCCTTTCAGCAGTCTCGAAACTGCCGTAGTGGAGCTTGATCCATCTGTCTCAGACACCCCCAGGATCCTGACATTGCACCTTCTCATTCTTCCTTCCATATCCTCACATTTTCCTCTGAGCACGGCCATCTCCGCTTTTAAATCAGTTACCACAGACTGCAGAGTCGCCACTTCATCTGACCACGTTGATAAACTGTCTTCCACCTCCTTAACGTAGTCTTCATCTGGTTAATCTCGGAGTGAGTCGCCGCCGTATGACTTGTTATATCCTTCTACTGTTATCTTCTGTGATAACAGGCGCTTATTTATTTAGGAACAAAACAGAGTTTTGGCGGGAGCCCAAGCTAAACACTTCCTACTCCATTGCCAGCGAAGCTCCGCCCCTCTGACAGTTCACAGGGTTGACAGTAGGAAGATTGAATGGCTGAAATGATTTTTAGATAGATACATCAAAAAAGGGTTTATCTAAAATATCCAGTTGTTTACTTGTTACATAATATACACAATTCTTTAAATATCCTATCCTTAATAACATCTTATGTCAACTAAATACTGTGCAAAACAAATATGGTCTTAAGTGTCCAGTGACACAGCTTTCATTGGCTATTTCAGACTAAATTTAACACTTCCTCAAAGAGCCAGAGTGTACTGGTTTATAAAAGTTTCTCAGTACAGTAACTGAGGGTGTAAGGAGGTAACTGCCACAATAACTGCAGGTTGCTATTATTTGGGAGGTTTGGGGTCTTATCCTGAATTAATAACATGAAAGACGGAGGTCTGCAGGGAACTCTGTTCGCAGGTCCATGGTAGTCAATTACTGAGTGAGTATCTCCGTCATAAAACCTCAAGCAGTGTTTGGAGCTTTAATATGTTTCAAATATGCCACCTTAGTGTGAGAGGTTAAGCATATTCCTATGTCCAGGGGTTAGCATATCGTGGCCTTCATACAGTAGTGACATTTTTTTTTTCATAGGATGAAACAAGTTCTCAAATAGTCGTACCAGAACTTTGCTTAAATAAAATTGTATTCTAAAATGTTACGAATTATGATGAAATCCAGGAAACATCTGATTACAGCTGGAATACACAAGGTTATGTATATGACTAGATATTTAATGATCACTAGAAGTAACAGTTTCTGATACTATGTGCACTGTGGACACATTTTGATTGGTACTATAAAATGTCTGAAAGTTGAAAGTATATAAAATATGAAACATAATGGTTTGATATCCAGCCACTCACTGTAATCACTAATTCAATGGCTATTGTCAACAGGTGTTTTAAAAGACATTTTGTCACAGTAGGAAAAAGACAAGGTATAATAAAATGAAGGATGTCTGCTTTCTATTTACACTTGGTTGCTTTAATTTCAAGGCCATTTTACTGGGTTTACTGGGATACATGAATTGAATAAATCTATCATCAGTGTTATTTGGACCACCTGTGCTTTTCTTCCTGTACTTGATCAGTTATAATGCTTGTAAGTTCCAGTCAAATGTGACTTGAAGTCAGAAGTTTACATACACCTTAGTTAAATACATTTAAACTCAGTTTTCCACATTTTACATTTAATCCTATAAACATCTCCTGTCTTAGATGAGTTAGGATGGCTACTTTATTTTAAGAATGTGATTTATTTTAGTGTTCATTTCTTTCAGTACATTTCCAGTGTGCCGGAAGTATACATACACTCAGCTGGTATTTGGTAGCATTGTCTTTAAATTGATTAACTTGGGTCAAATATTTTGGGATGCCTTCCACAAAGTCCTTACAATACATTGCTGGAATTTTAGCCCATTACTCCTGACAGAAATGGTGGAACTGAGTCAGGTTTGGAGGCCTCCTTGCTTGCACACTCTTTATCAGTTCTGCCTACATATATTCTTTTGGCTGAGGCTTTGTGATGGCTACTCCAATACCTTGATTTTGTTGTTATTAAGCTATGTTGCCACAACTTTGGAAGTCTGCTTGGGGTCATTATCCATTTGGACAAGACCCATTTGTGACCAAACTTTAACATCCTGGCTAATGTCCTGAGATATTGTTTCAGTAGATCCACATCATCTTCCTTCCTCATGATGCCATCTACTTTATAAAGTGCTTCAGTCCCTCCTGCAGCAAAGCGTCCCCAACAACATGATGCTGCCACCCCTGTATTTGGGATGGTGATCTTCAGCTTGCGAGCCTCAGCCTTTTTGCTCACAAAAATGAACCAGACTTGTAGAGGTTCCGTTTTTTTTTTTTCTGAGGTCTTGGTTGATTTCTTTGGCTTTTTCCAGATGATGCCAAACAAAGAGGTACAGAGTTTGAAGGTAGACATTAAAATACATCCACAAGTGCACCTCCAATTGACTCATATAATGTCAATTAGCCTATCAGAAGCTTTGAAAGCCATGACATCATTTTCTGTAATTTTCCAAGCTGTTTAAAGGCCCAGTCAGCTAAGTTCATCTAAACATCTGACCCACTGGAATTGTGATATAGTGAATTATAAGTGAAATAATCTATCTATAAACAGCTGCTGGAAAAATTACTTGTGTCCTGTATAAAGTACTTGTTTCCTAACCCACTTGCCAAAGCAAGAGTTTGTTAACACGACATCTGTGGAGTGGTTATTAAAAAAAAATCAGTTTTAATGAATCAAACTTGACTTCAATTCTATACTCTACAGTCTTATGCAAAAGTTTAGGCACCCCTTGATAAATAACAGATTTTGGTGATTTTTTATTTGAACAGATGTTAACACAGTTTCTCTTGGAAATGGAAAAAATGCACAATATTTTCAGCAAACAGTGATGCATAGTTACTTCTTATGCCATAAATTGAACAAAAATAAAAAATAAAAACATTATTATGGCATGGTGCAAAAGTTTGGGCACCCTAAGAGTTCCAGAGTCTCAAAGTCTCTCACAAGGTATCAGACCTTAATCAGCTCGTTAGATCTGATGCACAGCAACAGCTGTCATTGGTAAATGCCAATTTCAAAGCTGTACAAATACTTTGACTCTTCAAACCTTGTGCACACACTTGTGGACACCCAGCAACCATGGGTTCCTCTAAGCAGCTGTGTAAGACCCTGAAAATGAAAGTTATTGACGCCCACAATGCAGGAGAAGGCTACAAGAAGATAGCAAAGCGTTGTCAGCTTGCAGTTTCCACAGTAAGAAATGTAATTAAGAGATGGCAGATCAGGGGAACTGTGGAGGTCAAGATGAGATCTGGAAGACCAAGAAAACTCTCGGACAGAACTGCTCGTATGCTGGTCAGAAAGACAAATCAAAACCCCCATTTGACTGCAAAAAACCTGCAGGAAGATTTAGCAGACTCAGGAGTGGTGGTGCACCGTTCCACTGTGCAGCGATGCTTGCACAGACAAGGCCTTCATGGAAGAGTCAGCAGAAGAAAACCTTATCTGCGTCCCCATCATAAAATCCAACGTCTGAAGTATGCAACAGGACATCTACAGAAGCCCGATGCGTTTTGGAAACAAGTGCTGTGGACTGATGAAGTTAAAATAGAACTCTTTGGACACAATCAGCAAAGGCATGTTTGGAGAAAAAAAGGAGCAGCATTTCATGAAAAGAACACCTTGCCAACTATTAAGCATGGGGGTGGATCTATCATGCTCTGGGGTTGTGTTGCAGCCAGTGGCACAGGAAACATTGCACGGGTGGAGGGAAGAATGGATTCCACTAAATACCAGCAAATTCTGGAAGCAAACATCACACCATCTGTAAAAAAGCTGAAGCTGAAAAGAGGATGGCTTCTACAACAGGACAATGATCCTAAACATACCTCGAAATCCACTATGGAATACCTCAAGAGACGCAGGCTGAAGGTTTTGGAATGGCCATCACAGTCCCCTGATTTAAACATCATTGAAAATTTGTGGGTAGATCTTAAAAGAGCTGTGCATGCAAGACGACCAAAGAATATTACAGAACTAGAAGCCTTTTGCAAGGAAGAATGGGAGAAGATCCCAAGTACAAGAATTGAAAGACTTTTAGCTGGCTATGAAAAGCGTTTGCAAGCTGTGATATCTGCCAGAGGAGGTGTTACTAAGTACTGATTGTGTAGGGTGCCCAAACTTTTGCACCATGCCATAATAATGTTTTTATTTTTTATTTTTGTTCAATTTATGGCATAAGAAGTAACTATGCATCACTGTTTGCTGAAAATATTGTGCATTTTTTCCATTTCCAAGAGAAACTGTGTTAACATCTGTTCAAATAAAAAATCACCAAAATCTGTTATTTATCAAGGGGTGCCTAAACTTTTGCATAAGACTGTATGTCCTCATTTGTACCTGGTGTAGTAACTTGTGGGAGAGGCTGGTAAACACTGGTGTTGAAGCTGCTGCTGATGGGAATATGGTTAGAAGAATTGGACACCTGACGACGTTGGTTTCTCATCTTCTCCTCTCTTCTCCACTTTGCTCGTCTGTTGGAAAACCAAACCTACACATATCAGAATAGAAAAGAAAAAAAATCACAATTGTTACAGGGTAAAAAGATGGGTTCAGATTTTTGTCTATTTTTAAAAAAATACTGACATGTTCTTATTAAAACTGAGGCTTATTGCTGACTTTAAGTGTTCTTCATGTGCATACTCTTGGAGAAAGATGTCAGGATCAGCACGTGATGCTGCCGATAATGTCGTGGGTGAACTCTATTAAATTGCCAGACGAGGGTATGTGAATAACCGTCTCTTTGTTAAGAGCACTAACGCATAACAAAAATGAGACAAGACACACAAAACACACTTACAGAGTGATGATACAGTCCATGGTCAGAGCCAGCAAACACATACAGCAAAGGGAATCCAAAGTTTGTAGTCCAAAGGAGAAGTCCGATAATTCATACATAAGGCAGCAGTCCGAAACACAAGGGCAAGGCAGAACAGAATTATCAAAGTATGCGATCCGGGTCAAAACACAAAATACCAAAACCGAAAAAATGCTGGAGAGTCAGAGCTGGAGTCTAGAACAGTCTGGCAGGGGACTGGTGGGGGAAGGCTGCTTATAATGCGGTGAAAACAGGTACAAACAATTGGGAGGTGAAACTAATGTGAGTGATTATTAAAGTAAAAAGACCGAAACTGAGGTGAAACAAAAACAGGAAGTAATGTCAAAATAAAAGCATGACAGGAAGCAGCAGAACCGAATCATGACAGTACCCTCCCCACAAGGATGGCTTCCGGACATCCAAACACAAACCAAAACAGGCAGGGGCCGAGGCGTCAGTGACCCCCTCTGGAGCTGGAAGCTGGGCGTTGGTGACCCCCTCTGGAGCTGGAAGCTGGGCGTCAGTGATGGCCCACGTGGGATCCAGAAGCAGGAGAGTGGCGTCGTCGCCGACCCACTCGAAGGTTGGGAGCAGGGGAGTGGCGTCATCGCCAACCCATGCGGGATCTGGAAACGGGAGAGTGGCGTCATCGCCGACCCACTCGAAGGCCGAGAGCAGGGGAGTGATGTCATCACCAACCCACACAGGATCTGGAAGCAGGGGAGTGGCATCATTGCCGACATGACTGGAGACAGGAACTGGCTCGAAGGTGGCATCGGCGCACCGACCAACCCACTCAGGGACGGGAACAGGAACAGGCCCGAAGGCAGCGTCAGTGCACCGGCTGACCCACTCAGGGGCAGGAACAGGAACAGGCTCGAAGGTGGCGTCGGCGTGCCTGCCGACCCACTTGAGGACAGGAGGTCGGAGGGTGCTGTCACCATTGGCGAACCCCTCAGGGGCTGGAAGAGGAATACTATCCTTGTTGGCGAACCCCTCTGGAGCAGGGAGTAAGGGAATGGAGAGGGCTTTGGCGATCCAGCCAAGCCCCATGGGACCAGAGGCAACCGCCTCCATTGGCAAGTACTCGTCGGCACACTGCAGACCTGGTACCCTGGCAGGGACGCTGTCGTCAGCACACCTGGGTTTCTCAGTCTCAGCGGGGATGTTTGGGTAACCATGCCAAGGGGCAGACTCCGGGGTGGTGTCGGCGCACTGGCTGACCCTCTGGGAAACAGGTACTGGAACAGGCTGTGACTGTGGAGGCGGCTGTGGAGACGGCCACTGCAGGGAACCTCGGGCTGGGACCTCCTGTGGAGCGTTCGCCGTGATGCACAGGGTGGTGGTAACCTTGGCGGGAACGTTTCTGTCAGCGCACTGAAGATAACAGGCGTCGGCGGGGACACTTTCATCAGCACACCAGGAAACCCCTCATACTGAAGGAACGTTGACCTCAGGAGTTGTTGCTGCAGCAACAGGCTGTGACTGTGGAGGGGATTGGGGCTGTGGGGACAGGCCGT